GTACAGTTTAATAATATTTCGAACTATATCTCGATTTATTAACACTGTCAATGATTTGGGAAAAAGTTTGGCCCTTCAAATGCAAGTGAATTATCCACTTTCCTTATTTCGTCAGAAACAACTTTAACACGAGCCATTTTTAGTTATTAACAACAACACCACCAATGTACGAAAGTTAATTAAAACGTCAAAACGGCTTCTTAGCAAAGTCAAATATTATCATTTGTTTTACAAAGCCTGCCTTTATTTTATTGAAGCCGACAAACTGACTATTTAACTTAAGTTGTCTCCATCATGTATTTTGCCAAACACAAATCATTTTACAAATAAAACAATTTCGAAATAAAAACTCTTTAAAAATAGCCACGTTGGTCTTATTATATTTCTATAAACATTTAAACAAACCAAAAATATTATATTTTAAACAAAATTTTAATGTGCCCTGAGAGAAATTCACAAATATAATGTTTTATGGGGTTGGGCCAACTTCACTGAGACAGAGACCTCGTATAATTTTTATATATGCCTGTTATAAACTCTAATAATCTTTTGAGATGATAGTAATAGTAATAATAGTTCAACATCTAATACATTTTTAACATATTTATCTTTATGACACCGTGCTAGATTTGGTAACTTGATTTTTAAAATTGGTTTATTAAATTTAAAATTTTTCTTAGTAAGTCAATCTGCAATCTGGGCTTTTCTCCATTTGGTGGTTGATAACTGTTCTACACGCCGGCTGTGGTATGGAGCGTTATCCATAACAATAATAGATCCTGGTTCGATTTTTAAAAGAATATCTGAAAAAAATTCCGGTCTTTGCTGATGAAATCCCTATTAGCGTGTCTATGACACCGCTTTAATGATAACATCCAAGCAAGATTCAAATGCGTTGTTGCCAATAACGTCGCTTTAATTTGCGACGACAATGTGGATCTCGAACATTATCTACCGTTAGATAAAGATGCAAACTGCACGCTGGCAATGTTCTATTTTACCAATCGCTTGGAAGACGTTTAAATAGTTTAAAATTCTAAAAAACTATTGATTATAACTTTAACAAATATTTCATAACCCTACATCTTGTCCTGCAATTTTGACAAAAGAGTTAAAATGGATTTGAAAGAGAGCAGAATATTTGATGATAACGGCAAAGATATTGTAAATTTTATTGTGAATGTGAGGACTTGCACGGAACAAGAATAAAAAAAGAATATTTTAATGATATAATGTTATGTAAGGGCATTGATAAACTTGATATATTATTCCCATCGGCGTAGCTAGTTTAAGTTTTCAGGGGGGCCGTGGCCCCAGGTGTACATTGGAATAAAATATATATGTATTTTTTAATTGCGGTGCAATAAATGGTAAAAAATACGCTATTATAGTGAATAGTGGTTTTAATATTTCAATATAACTAATACGTTTATTAACTTATAAACATAACGATTAATATTAAAAGTACTGATTATCTACAAAAGTTTTCTACGCTGTTGACTTAAAGAATCTACAACACTGTCCAAGTCGATATCAACATCTTCTTCTCTGAACAACAACGACCAATCTGAATGTCTATCTTGAGTCATGGTCGTCCTCAACCAATTAAAAATCCTCCTCATGGCAGAAAAACGACCTCTCGCACGTCGCTCTTGAAATAGGTAGAATAATCGTGACTTTAAAAAGTTGATAGAAGTTTGGGTATGTTTTTTCTGATTCTATTATGTATTTTTTTAATAGAATCATAACCAACAGTTTCTTTAAATTAAAGAATACAAGTTTTTAAACCGGTAATTTCTGTCCTTAAGACAGAAGTTTTAATATTCGAAATTTTACGGCTTTACTCAGTGAATTCCGCTGAACCCTCAAAATCTAACTAAAAAAAAATTATCTACAGAATTAACAAGGACCATACTTTCTGATGAGAACCTTTTGTTTAGAAACTCTTTTATAGTATCAATAATTCGGTAAAAAATGTTTGCCCTTCAATTACTCAATTACTACGATATTAGCTCTAGAGCTTGTGGCGTCTATCAAATTTAGTCCTATAGTTGTTATAGTGACGAAATCAGCGAACTTGCTACTGACTTGGTTTTTTCGTTTTGATGGGAGAATTTCCAATAATACTATATTTTTCAGCAAAGTCCGAAATTTTTAGATGAAGGTCAAGTATAGTATTTTTCGTTTATTTTTTATTTCAACTAGTGAATTAATGACACTTTTAATAACGTTAACTGCTTTCCCCAGAGTCGCACCTTTCTCCTGAAGATTAAGCTCTTCCAATTTATTGGAAATTAAATTGAATAAATAATAAATATAAGTAAATTTACCTACTATATTTTTTTGATACGCAATTTTTTATTTAAATCTTTCAGGAGGGCCAGAGGTACATCAGGAAGGCCAGCTCCTTCCTAGCTATGCCAATGTTATGCCCCCCTTCTGACCCTAAGACAGCAAGAAAATGTAAGATTTGGAGTGGCTCCAAATTAGATAGACCGACCTCTTCTTGAATTTCGAAGTGCTACACATTTAGTCAAAATGTAAATGAAGATTTCGTCCTTTAAATCACAGAATCTGTACTCACTATCTTCTACTGGTTCCAGTACTAAGACACATGCTTTTTTACAAAATTGGACGAGTTAAATAGTCCATGACTCGTTTCCACGCTTTTAATTTGTCTTTTAAAGAAGTATCTTTAGTTTTTTGTTTTGTTTTCAATGATGTCTATTTCATTAAAAATACAATTCTGTAATAAATATTATTCGGATGTAAACTTAACATTTTTTATCAGTTTTTTTTTTATTTTTTGACTGAACCAATATATTTTACGGAACATCTGAACTAGTTTAAAAATTCGGTTCTGCCAGTAGATATTAAACAAACAAATCAAATGCTAAAATGAAAGTAAAATATTTAGTAATGGTTAATCATAATTGATTAATTAAGTGATTAATTTAATAATATGATTTCGTAATAAGAGACAGAAAGTACCGGCCCTAAATGATTAAGGCCTCAAAGAAAGTACCTACAATGCAATAAAAATGGTTTTTTTTATGCTAACGATCTTCATCATTTCATTCATTTTTCAAACGTTTTTCTATTACATATTTTGCATAGTTTTTAACATTTGGGTAAAATAATTGCATAATTTAAAATAAAGCATGTGCAATATATGCATATATATGCGCATATGATGATTAAATTTTGGTGCATATCTTTCGCCTTCTACTGATTACCTACATTTTGACCTATTGAATTTTGCTAACTTATGTATCAAGGAAATTATGAATATGTTAATTTGAAGTACAATCTAGGTAAATAAAGTACAATCAAAAATATTAAAAAACGAAACATATGTAATTATCCTGTAAATATTTTTCAACACTGTAGTAGCATTTTTGTAATAAAATATATTTAAATTTTTTCTTAAGAGGAACCTACTTTATTTTCGAAAAACCCAGAAAAGCTTAAAGTTAAACGTTTAAATTTACAGTGATTGAGCGTATATATTCAGTCAAAAAGAATCTTACTAAATTTTAACATTGGCCGAAAATATATACAGGCTGGCTCATATTGCCGACGTAATTCCTGAAGTGAAGTTCTATCTCAATTATATATATATCAAACGTCTTGTTCGAGATGATCATAGGTAGTACCCCCCTTTGCCCGCTCTGTAACCACGTATTTTAAACTCTAAATACCCTCAAAAATATTTGGAAAGTTCCAAAATAACAACTGGTTGTACCAGTCCTTCCCACCTCTGCTCCCGTCCCGTGGTAGTCAGATACACACTTACGTCATTCTTTTAAAGTGGTAATTGTGTTTGAATCTTGTAGAGATGATCTTGAGTACTCTGTAGGTGGGTTCGATCACCTCGAACAAGGCGTTTCATATAATTGAGATAGCGTATATCCTATCCAGTAAAATAAAACAGATCAGGACAGGGATTCTTATATGCGTACTCAACACGTAACTAATTGGATCGAGAAAGACATTACATACAAATCGCATTCTGTGAAACGAAGATAGTCGTCTCAACACGTGCCGAATTGAGAGACCAGAATCCTAATGCTGTGATCTGACTACCACGAAGACTACCACGGGACGGTAGCAGAGGTGGGAAATACTTATACAGCCAGTTGCTATTTTGGAACTTTCTAAATACTTACGTCAAAAAAGGAGGAGGTTCTCAATTCGTCGTAATATTGCTTTTATGTATGTTCAGCGATAATTTTTTAACACGGTGTCCGATTTCAATGTTTCTTTTTGGTTTTTGTTAGAATGGATAGTACCATATAAATTTGGTCAAGATGTGGTGATGGCATCTTCACGATTTTGAAGTGCGTTTTTTAAAATTACTTTTAATACTTGTATGATGTAAATTACATAGGTAGGCAATTTATTTTTAGGTCCAGAAGATTGATAAGATCTGATTTGATGTAATTAGTGTGTTTTTAAAAATATGTATGCAATAATAATTTTAAAAGTATCTACTTTTGCTAAATATACAATTAACTGGTAACTCGTATTCGTACATTGCCGACACGTCGAGATTTTACGAGACTGTTATTTTTGATACCGAACTGATACGAGTATCTGAGGTGTCGGCTGTTTCCGAATATGCCTCCTGGCGTTCGGACCAATAAATTTTTATGGCGGGCCAACGGATGATGTAATATTGCTCTGCATTGAGCAATTGCAAGAAAAAAAATTGGCGACACGATGATTTAATTGCTTGCTTTTAGTAGCTTACATACACAACTGAATGTGCGCTTCTTGTTAATTGCAACTTTGAACACTGTTGTATCTAGTTATTCTGTTACGGGTAAAAATATATAATGTTTTTAAGAGGTAAATTTTTAAATTTAGTTTTGCTTTTATTTTGGACATTTATCGCTATAATCATGGCATGATTACGTGGTCATGATAATGAATATAATTTGAAATTTACAACCCAAATAAACAATGTAAAACATAAGGAATTAATAAAAACAGTTTACCAATAATTCATCATTTCTCTAAAAGGCGAATTTTTCTGCAAATTGGTAAACATCGGCTGCGTTCTGTACATCTGGACCTCTTCCAGTTCGCAAATGTCTTGATTGGAAAAAGTTCTTTCTATTATGGGATAAGCGGTACTAGTTTCCACGTGGAAGGCAAAACCCCCCTGTCTTACTAACTCGAGTCCTTCTTCTGGTGAATAGAAGCCGGAATTATTATTGCTTCCCTTTATCTTGGTTTCGAAAAGTTCTATGGCGTCAGGATCTGTGGTTTGCTGGAAAATGAGTAATTATTTACAATAGATTATTTAAAAGAACGAATGAAGGTCACCGTTTCCTTATACATGGTAAACGGTCGAATCTGCTGAATTTTATATATTATGTTAGTTTTTGATCTCCTAAATAAAAGTATCAACGTAGTTCTTCTAAACTATTATTATGATAAGAAGACGGTGACGTAATTTCTAGTTATTTCTATTGTCAATGGGAAAAGAGCAAATACGATTTAAACTCAACGTGCAGGGGAAATTAACTTTTATAAGCTGGCGAAGTTGCCGATATGACATGCTTAGCGAGAATACTTGATTCATCAATCAACATTCGTTTGCAGGTTAGGTCGTTTCGTTTTATTTGTTATGTATTCAATTTTCTATAAAATTTTCAAGAAACAGTAATTTTCATTACTAAACAGTTATTTTTATAATTGATTGTGTCAGATGAAAATTCAAACACATTTAAAATAAGAATTGAATGGAACGTATTTCTTATTACCCAGTGTGTACACACCACTCAAACTCTTCACACATTTAAAATACCTAAACTTAAAACCAGAAAAAATCTGCTAAAGTACTTTCAACGAGAATGTGTAAAATGGAGGGACAGTGATTCCACTTACTAAGATAAGATACGTAAGTAATATTACGGGATCCGGCTGCGAAATTAGTACATTCAGTATTAGTAATAATACTTTTATAGCAAAGAGAATCCACTTTTCAGTATGTGCCAATTAAAAATTGCCCGCTAGTATTTTTAATTAAAATAATATTAATTGAGTTTTCGGGAAACATTTCGTTTACATCTTACGGAAATAAATCCTACTCCACTTCACAACAATGTAATTGAAAACTTTAAAAAGGTACAGTTGCTGTTGATCGCTTAGCCGCAACCTCGTCGCAGCCAGGTGTAAACAGATATAACTTTGTCTAATTTTTTCGTTCATAACGTATATTCATTCCAATTGTGCCACATTATAGCTAATTTTTTTCTGTGCTTAATGTAATAAAGCTGCCTATAAAAAAAACCGCAAATAAAAGTTTCCTGCCGTTAAAGATGCTAGGCATTGTAAATAAAGTTACAGAGAGTGAGCGGGTAATGATACTTGTCCGACAAAGATGTTAAATGCCGGCTGTACGCGCTTTTTAAGCTATTGCGCATGTCTCGATAGATAGGGTTCTCAACTAAGCAGCTGAGCTGAGGTGTTTATTATTATCCTAACCTCACAGTTTTGGAGCTCGTAATACACATAATTATTTTTATAGTTGTTGTTTTATTAATATTGAAATAATATTACTTTTGTTCATGTAAAGTTAAAATTTAAAAAATGACCACGTGTTTTTTGTGTAGTAAAAAGAACAACGTGCTCCAATTTAGTAATGCATCGTTTAAAAAATGTTTCTCAATGTTATTATTCCGACGTAAAAAAAATATATAAGTATCACGATATTATATTAACAGTGGAATCTGCTAATTATTTTGGTTACCATACTGAGTGTCTTAAGAAAATCACTGTTTTGAAGCAAAAAGATAAGGAAGAATTTGAAAGTTTTTGCAAAAGTCAAACTGTAAGTAAAATTTTTTATTTAGTGTATTAATGCATGTGACTCTGTCAGACATTAATTAATATTTAGAACATTAAAGAATTTAGAAATTAAAAGTTTATTAATAAATAAATATACATTACACTCAGACAATTAAAAAATCTGTACTTTTTTCTAATGAATAATTTTTAATTGTGTATTAATCAATTTTTAATTATAAAAAATTAATTTATGTCTGTTACATTAATATTATGAATTATACGGGGTGTTTCAAAAAGGTATGTCATAAATTCATCCTCAGATAGATTACCAAAAAATAAGTGGATTTGGCTATATTTACCTATATCAAAAACTGGCTCCCAACAAAGTTACAGGGTGTTAAATTAACATTTAGAAAAACGTTTTTTTTTTTTTTATAAAAAGTTTGCTGTTGCGATTTTTTCTTCGAAATTTTTGCCAGTTCTGTAGATTTCAAAGCCCAATATTTTAAGGAGAAAAAAATTTAAAACAACCCCTTTAAAAAAAAGTTGGGGGTTGAGTACCTTTTATTCCCCTGTATTTTTTTTGACATAAAGAAACTTGCGAAATGAACTTTGTATCTTTCTAAGTTAACGAGCTATTTACAATTTTTTAACTGAATTTGTAGAGCAATTTGTCCGTTCTAGACTTAACATATCAGCAAAACTAAGAGTAGGTCAGGAGTAATTGTACAAAAAACGCATATAAAAATCAGTGGTGTGCCTAGGGCTGTGCTTGAGCCGCCCCTGCAAAACCTACCTCAAAATCAAAACAAACATTAGCTTAAACACAGCCTACATAATAAATTTTTTTTTTGACCTAAATAACCAAGGTTTTATTTGGAAAATGAATGAGATTTTTTACGTTAAAATAAATGTTTTGTTATGTTATATCATTTTAAATACAAGTCAACGAAAATTAATGAAGCCAAATTTTTTTCAGAGTATGCATCTAAGTTTATTATTTTTTTTTTAGATTTTATAATTTTATCAGTTTTTTATTTTTTGGAGTAGTTAAATACAGTCATTCTTACTACTACTTAGACCGTTGGTTGAAAACCCTATCTATCGAAGCATGCGCAATAGCTTAAGAAGCTCGTACAGCCGGCATTTAACATCTTTGTCCGACAAGTAGCATTGCCCGCTCACTCTCTGTCACTTTATTTACAATGCCTAGCATCTTTAACGGCAGGAAACTTTTATATGCGGTTTTTTTTTTATATGCAGCTTTATTACATTAAGCACAGAAAAAAATTAGCTATAATATGGCACAATTGAAATGAATATACGTCATGAACGAAAAAATTAGACAAATTTATACCTGTTTACACCTGGCTGCGACGAGGTTGCGGCTAAGCGATCAACAGCAACTGTACCTTTTTAAAGTTTTCAATTACATTGTTGTGAAGTGGAGTAGGATTTATTTCCGTAAGATGTAAACGAAATGTTTCCCGAAAACTCAATTAATATTATTTTAATTAAAAATACTAGCGGGCAATTTTTAATTGGCACCTACTGAAAAGTGGATTCTCCTTGCTATAAAAGTACGTCGAAATTAGATTTCGATCAACTACATTATGAATGTACTAATTTCGCAGCCGGATCTTAGACTATAATGATACTTACATCCAATAAATTCATGCAACTCGAAGTACCTATGCTATAAAAAGTATATAATTATATATTTCAGAGAGTTGCAGATGCCTTACAGCTAAGAAAAATAAACTATGCCAATAAAAAATAAGTTATTTAATAACGAACAATAAAATATTTAATTCCCGGAATTAAATCATATTAGGAATTGCCATTATCATCTATTAATTGTCCTATTTCAATAATGGGTAAACAGGTATTAGACGACAGCTCAGATAAGGAATTTAAAAGGGATAGACACGAATTCGTTGAAGCCGACTAAAATAGTTTTATGCAGGTTAATCCAACACAAATTTAATGTTTTATATGACAAATTGTATACCCCTACACAAAAGTTAGCTGTTACATCTTACAAAATATAAACTTAGTTAAATTGTCAAAATATGACAAATATTTTTGAAACACCCTGTATAATCGGCGCAGGTTACATTATCTGTGTTTATTTCAATAAATTTTAAAAAATTGAAACTCCCAAGTATTTGTAACAAAATTAGGTTTAGTACAATATTAATTTAATAAAAATAAATAGTATTACTATACCCTCCCACAAGAAAGAAATGTTTAAATATCGTTCATCTAGCAAATTAAAATTTCTGGTCATTTACCAGATATACCCAGATTCAATCTGTCTGTAATTGGGTTTAAAAATAAATATAAAAACATAATTTTTAGTGAAGAATTATCAACAATTTCTATTTTTATCATGTATATTTGCATTTTCCTTTTTTTTAAAGTTATTTTTATAGTTTCTATTATTTATTCTTGTTGTAACCGAAAGGTCATTGTAATAGAATCGGTCTCCGGACCTAACATTGGACTTGTTACTTGCTATACTTAAAACAAAATAAATTATTTATACATGGTTATACTACAAAAATGGCCCGTTAGCTTTTTTATAGCTTTTTTTCACCAGTAGCCTTACTTTCCCATTTTCTCTCAATTCCATCCATTATGAGTGGCGAGAGAAGAAATTATTTTTTCGCCCTTGCATATCAAGTTAGGGCTTTCGAGGCAATTTGTGAAGGCTTTAACTCGAGATGGACTTTGTTTTTCCTACTTAAAACGTAAATTTCCTGGGATTAACACGAAAAACTGAAAGCCGCAATATTTTATGGTCCAAAGATAGGAAAAGTTACTAAAAATCCAAAATATATCAATTCAATGAACAATATTGAATGTAACGCTTATTTAATTTGTTGTAGATGTACAAAATTTCTTTGAAAATCATAAATTGTAACTCATTGTTTGCAACATGAGCATAAAATGTCAATTTTTGCATGTTTCAACTTTATTTAACTTTTTACTTTCTCTATATGTAATATCCTAATTATTTATTTTTAGGGGTGCAAAAAGTTTTATTAGTGGTGCATCAGAAGTACATACAGGTGCAATTTTTTGCGAAAACATCAGCGAGGGTCAAGTTTACGGTAACGAAACTGCTATAACTGCTAAAAGAAAGGTGCGCAAAAAGTTTTATTGGTGGTGCATATAAGAGTATTAGAAGTACAGGAGTACATATAGGCGCAATTTTTGCGGAAACATCGGGGAGCCTACTTTACGGTAAGAAAACTGCTATAACTGTTAAAGGAAGGAGGTGCAAAAAGTTTTATTGGTAATATATATACCCGCTCAAGTAAAACGTCTAATTAGGGCAGCAGAACAACAGCTGCTCTTGGATGATCACGTCAGCAAACCCCAACACGGTGTTTTCTACAGGAACATAAAAGATCTTAATCTATCTCGGGAATTAACTTTCTCCTTTCTTCGATCAGCTGACCTGAAGTCTGAGACAGAGGGATTCTTGTTAACTTGCCAGGATGGCATAATTAATACTCTCATATACCGCGCTGAATTTACGCATGTGGCGGATGTTAGATGCAGAACATGCCAACAATACCCGGAGACACTAATGCATCTTTTGTCCACTTGCCCGATGCAAGCTGTGTCAGGGTACATCTACAGGCACAACGCCGAATTGCTAGTTCTCTACTATCATCTAGACGTCACTACGGTATAGATGAGACACCAGTTCTGCCATACACCCTAGACAAAATTCAAGCGGTAGTGGAACGTAACAGTTGCCGTATTTATTGGAATTACGCTTTTCCCACAACAATCAGACTCCAAGCTAACAAGCCCGATTTGGTATGTTGGACAAGCAGAGTCATTCAGTGTTTGTCATTGAGTTTTCTGCACCAGCTGAAACCAACATTCTTGTTAAGGAGAGGGAAAAGCGTGCCAAATACATTCCACTGCTTGGCAAATTGCAAAGAATGTATCCAGAATATTGTGTACGAATGGTAGTTCTAATTGTAGGTGTTTTAGGGGGAATCAAGAACACTATGCTCAAGGAGCTACAAAAAATACTGTCTTGCCGAGACTCATCAAAACAACTAGTGGTGAAGACACAGAAAGCGGTAGTCCTTGGGTCCCTTCGTCTTTTGAGGCAAAAAAATTAAAAAAAATGTCTAAGATGAACTTAAATTCATCCCTTAACAATATTCTAATCAAAGAAAAAAAATTCTTTAAAAATAAGCTAGTAAAACGTTATCAGCTGGGCCTTTACAAGCACAAATTCGAACACTGTTAAGTGGCGCCTCCGGCGGTAAAATGCACTTCGTTTATATAGGCGGTGACAAACTTTTACAAGAATAATTATGTAATGAATTTTTTATATAGTTTAAGTTAAAATTTATGTTCAAAGAGTATTTTAAAAATGATAAAAATGCAGAGTCTATATGGTAAATATGGTAGAATGTCCTTCGCACACTACTCTATGGAAAATAAAATGGTACACAGTACACAGATATATTTTGCCACTTCTAAATATACATGCGAAACTTAAAAGATTACTTGATTAAGGATAATTTCCTAACTGTAGCAGAATTTTATATAAATAAAAATTTCCTTGGTTTCATCGGTCAATGTTTTTTTTTCTATTGTTAAGCACTACATATTATGTTTCGGAAAATACAGTTTTTCATCTTCTGGTGCAGTCAATTTATAAAAATTATGGGGACGAATACAAACAGTTTTAAATTTTTAAAAATAATAGAAAGATGTCCGAGACAACTCATATTAAGGGTTGAAACCGTTTTCGTTATTTAGACCCAAACATTGTAACGGTCAAAACCGTTTTCGTTATTTTGACACCAACATCTCTACACAAATGTCATTTGTCGTTTATGCCTTATGTCAAAAGTTGGATTATTATTTCGATTCGTCTCTGTCAACAAGCAAGTTGATTTATTAAATTTTTAATTATCTGGGTCATCTGATGTACTAATTGTCTATTAATATTCTTAATGGCAGTCTGATTTTAAAAAAGGTAAGTTTTTCTACCGATATTTTGTTGAAAATATATATTTAGTACAAGAATTTCTTGAATGAAATGTAAAATTTTAAAAATAACCTCAAATACTTGAGTAACACATGATAAAACGTTTTGTATTATTTTAATATTATTTTGTTTGGAAGAGATAATATGCTTTACTATTTTTAAATATGTTAAATAAGATTTTTCCTTTTCATATTAATTTTAGTCTCTGTGAAGCTATTCACTTAATAGTATTAATTGTTCAATTAATAGTAAGAGGCATTTTATCTGGTTCCTTTAAATTTACTAGTACCTTTCTTGATATTTTTACCTTTTCCTTTGTAGCCTGGCTATATCTAGATGGTTTATAGAAGTTTTAGAAGCTATCGAAGTATAGAAGTTTTAGAAGTTCAGTTCAAGCTGCTTATAAGGAGGTTTATTTTAAGTTGTGTCAATAGGTTTGGTTCGAGTTCCATCTGAAGAAGTTTGTGAAGATTTGTACTATCCGAAGAATATCGTTTCGAGTCCCTTCGAAGAAGGCGTCTACAAGTCATTCCTCATTTACTTCCTCCTGTCATTCAGATAAGTCTTGAATAAATCATATAAATTTGAATAAGTAAGTCTCTGTGAATTAGAATTTGTTGCTACCTTATCTAAGACTTTATTTAATTATCATATCTTAATGGTTAGTGTTTTTCTATATTTTTATCACTAATTCATAGTCAAGTTTAGTAAGTTTTAAATATAGTGGCGCACAACATTCTTTTTCAAAGTAATCCGAGTTATTTAATAGACCTAACCCACTCCCCAAAATCATAAGAGCTTAAAACACTATAAAAATAGATAAAATAACAAGATCACGTTACAATATACAGCATTTTCGGACTTAGTGTTAAATCCATTTGTTAAGTTTACATCTATTATATCTGGGACCTTACAAATAATTAATTATTAGCTTGTTATTAGGGCTTGCCATAACAATAGTAATTACTAAATTTTTTCCCCTGGTATATTTGGCACTGAATTATTGAGTTATTTATTTTCCCCGATTTATTTTCTTTGATTTACTTACACCGTTTGATTGTGTTCGTTGTGTTTCCCGATTTATTTGAATTTATTTACCGATACCGTGTTATTTCTCCCCACTTCTGCTGATTGAACTTTTGGGCTTTAAAGTAAAGAAAAATTGTAAATAGTATTTGTAAGCAATATATGTATACATTTTACCTGATTGGTTATATTGAAGTTCTTGATCCGTGAACACCCGAATTTACCCCATTTCAGCTTACGGAAATTCTACACTTTATAAATTCGGTTTAAAGCCCGCTATTGATACTCTCATTTAAAAATAGTCTGTTACCAACGTTGAGCCCTGGAATTTTCCGTTTTCTTCACTGAAGCAGCCTGAGTGAGAACCTTCGAAAGCTGCATCGAAGGGTTGTAGAGCAAACCACCTAAATAAAACTGGCGCCCGAACTGGCGGCCAAGGATTCTCTGATAGTAGATAGTAGGGCATCTTGCAAAATATATGTCGGCGGCGCCCATGTTTAACTATTATTTTGTTTATAGTTTTAAGAAGTTTGATTTATTGGTATTTCAATAAGATAAGCTTCTACTTGGTTTTTATAAATGATGACTTAGCAAAAATGATACACACTTGCCATTCATGATGAGGGGCAAGCTGAGCGGAACGGAGCCAACAGGATGTTGATAGAAAATAAGGAATGAGAACAGAGATTAGAGAAGTGTGATCGATCGGGTGATGTTAGGCTGGCTCCGGATCGCTAGTATTATTTCTTCACTCAATTAATAATTCATATCGTATTATTATCCGTATTTCTTTAATAATTATTTGTGTAACATCGTTTAAAGTGTTGTCAACATTGTTTATTGCATTAATAAGTTTTACAAGAATTAAATGTAGTGTTTTGTCATAATGTTTGACGATGATGCCCAAAATATCAGAAATCCCACATATATAAAATTCATCAGTTTAGACCGAAAACTATTTGCCATAAGGAAACTGAGGGGTCCTTTATAATCAATAAAATACTAAAAACTAAAAAAAATATCACTATCTTCCTGTATTTTTTATGTTCAACAAATTATAACCATTATATTATAATATCCTTACCACAAAATAGTTTCTATCAATCAAAATATCCTCTATGCCGACACGCAAGGAGCTTTCTTTTAAATCCTTTAAATCGAAAATCGTCCTTGGCGGTTCCAACAATAAATAGGACACGATACTGGCGGAATAGAACTGATAAATGAGAATGGAAAATAAAAAAATAAAAAATGCCAGAATGCGGCTGCTCAAAAATTTTGGATAGCAAGAGGCTCCTGAAAATCAAGATTATTAAAATTAAAGTTTAATTACAATAAGGAAATAGTTTCTAATTGTTTCATTTAAAGCTTTTTCTAGTTCATCGTAATAATTGATCCCGCGGAAAAATGCCGAAAAACATTTTTCCAAAGGTGCATTTCAATTTTTCGAAATCATACACCCTGTGGCGACAGAATAAAAACTATTTTTTTGGATATGTATCTTACCTTGTTGACAGAAAGCTCCTAGGGTGAACAGTACTAAAAAACTCCATGTAGTGTCATCGACGCTAAAATTGCGTTTGCGAAATACTTTTACTTCATTGCGAAAAATGATTTTCAATATAATCAAAATGGCGCCGAGAGTTATCAAAATTACGATCCACACTTCGGTTTCCAATGGTCTTAAAAATATTTCGTAAGAAGTTGCTGTCACTTTTGGTTTCCGGTAGATAAATGTGGATCTAGAAAAGGGTTGAAATATGTTAAAAAATTTTAATTTATTACTGTAGACTTCTTTTATGGCGCCATCTAACGATTCATAATATTAATTATAGTAATATATTTCTTTATAAATGAAAACATCATATTTGCACCAAGAAGACAAATATTAGCGGAGGTTAACGTTTTTGAAGTGGCGCTGGGAAAAGTAACAAAGCCTATACAGATTCTTAAGAAAAAACAATAAATAATACAAAAAAAATTATCAAGTATTACAATTGTATACATAATTTTGAAAAATGAACTTTTGGAAAAATATACAGGAATTTTATATACAAAAAATAGAAAATGTCGCTTAAATAAATTATTAAATTATACCTTTTGTACACACTGTGGTTTTGTGAGATTTTAACAATACAAGAATAATTTATTATTATGGAGTAATTTAGAATTAATGTCCAATTTCACCGCTAATAGTTAAGAAATAAACGAGGTTTAAAATGACATTTTTACATTAACAATGTCATTTTATTCTTCGCTTCCACAACGGTGGAATTGGTCCTGAGAGAACCAAAGATTTATAAAGTTTTTTAAGGATTCTGAAATTTAAGCTATGCTGGTTAACAAATAGCAGGGGCATTTGTGCAGTGAACTCCCAGTTAAATTTAATAAAAACACATTGTTTTAAAATCACATAAATAACTTAAAAATATAAATTCAATTTTAATATACATGTTTTTTTTTTTTTGTACGCCTAGTCGCTTCTCTATCGGTGTTCTATGCTGATTGAACCCGAGAGGTTTTTGCAAATACCTGTGGTTAAAAAAAAGGACAATAGATCCGTGAAACAAAGGATGTGACCGCTTAAAACAACGCTATTTTGTGCATCGCATCCAATATGTTTTTAACGAAACTCTAAATACAGTATTAATCCCTATAAGACAATTTTAATTGTGTCTATTTAAAAATTGTGTAGAACTGCGAGTTTAATAAATCAAAAGTATGTGTGTCAATTCAACGATTGTTACCGAAACACGTCTCCATTTTAAGCATAAAAGTATTTTTGGGATTATGTTGCTTGTTTACTTGCAATATTAAACAATAATTTAGTTTTACAACGGGAATTTACATTTTTTTTTTGTTCCAGTGTCTAATAGTGGATTTATTTGTTGCACTAAGTGTTAGTGTTCTGAACTAATCACATTTGATTTGTTCAGTGTAGCATCAATTATTTGAGTGTAGATATAGTGTAACTCTTTTATTTGCAAACAAACGTATACTGAATCTACACCTCTACACCGACATACAAAAAAAATAAGAGTGGGTCTGTATGAATCTGTGGTAAAATAATGAATGATTTTAATAGAGCAATGAATATTATGTGAGCTTTTGTCTTCATCTTCTTATTAGAAAGAAGGAAAATAAACAAAATGATAATATTCATTAAAAATATAATTGATCAATATGACGATGAAGAGTTTAATCTAGAAATAAAATTGTACTAAATATGTAAAACCGACTGAATTTGAGACATTTTCAAAAAAAGCGATAGATATCTACAAACAAAAACAAACACTAGTTTTACTTAAAATTTACAGGTGGAAAAGCCTCATTGCAAGATCACGGTTGATTTCAGGACACACATACTAAAGGTATGCTGACTTTCGATTCAAAATTCGTCCAAACCGCGCATGACGTAATGCGGTACGAACTTTCAAGTTATTTTGACACTTTTCGATTGAGTAGTGTAAAATAATTTAATAATTTATATGTTTTTGTATTAGTAATGACTATATTTTCCTATATATAACAGGAAAGAACTAAATTAATGTTTAAAATGCCGGGCTGCGCAGTGGAGATATTTCCGAATGCCACAAAATATGGGTAAATTCTTATCGAAGAAAGGATAAACTTAATTGAAATTGCTCTATTCATTTTGAGGAAAGTAGTTGTTAGATTCCTCTTAAACATAGATGCAAGAAAAGGAAACTGAATTCCACCAGGTGCACGGGCCTCATTAAACAAAGAAAATAAATCTGTATTTAAAAATTTCGGCAAATAAAGCAGTAGTTTCCTGTCCCAATACAACGGTCCTTTTGAAGTAATGCCATGCATGAGCAGGACACGAACATATATAAGAATATGACAAATGAACAGGAAAATTGTTTTTGAGTATTTTCAAAGTAAACTTGACAAAAAATGTTTAAATTTACCAAATAAAAAGTAATATTTTCGTGTACTTACTTTTGTAAATAATAATTTGTTTCTGCACACTTATTCTTATTTCACATAATAAGAAAAGAGATTACAAGAGAACTACTATACCCAGAAAGTACATATTTGAGTCAAACTTGTATTTTTAGTCTATATCTTTTACTTATCTTATGGCCAGGTTATGGATTTTGTTACAATACCTATAATTTATGAGAAAAATTAATATTTTTATTAGTATTATTTACCTAAAACCTTCGTATTTGTAAACCAATATATTACAAAATAACCAATAAAGCTTAAATAACTGCCTAAAATCTAAAATTGACAAAATATCGAATTTTATACACTATCTCCCACAAAGACATTTTAGTTGTTATGTCTTTGATCTTCCATTTAATGCTTATAATTCTATGTCCCACGTGACGTCACCGTCAGTCAAATGCATGCGCAGGAGCATACCGTTAGCCATCGTAGGTTGATTTAAAACTGTTGTACTTTCACCAAACTATCACTAACAATCAAAGTATGTGATCACTAAACATAAACTTTGACAGTTCGAATAGAGTGTCGAGTGTAATACTAGTGCAACAAATAAAATCCATTATAAGACTACTTCAGAACAGTCATGTGATTTGTACCCAACTGTAAGTACTATGCAGTGATAAATGTTTCATAAAAAAGAGATAAATAAAGTTTTAAAAACAGAAAACTGCGTAAATGGATACAAACTGACGATGCTCCTCTTATCAGAGTTAAACTTGTTACTAAATTGAGTTTTTAATTGAGATCCCAACCATCCCAACCTCACTTTATGTATTTAATTTGGATTGAATTCTTAAACTATGGATTAAAATCAGCTAGACATGCTTAAAAATATAGAACAACCTATGCTATTTGCCTAAAATTACCACAAGTACTGTTCCTTTGTGATATTCTACTCTAATCCATGATTTTAGGTTTCGGTTATGGGTGGGATTACTTTTTCTATATCTCCTTCAGAACATCTTCTGGCAATGTCTTTATATGAGTAAAATGTTCACTGAACCCACCTTATATTCTAACTTTCACTTCTTATATGCTAAGAAAACATTTAATACTAATTCCATCAACATTTAGGTTCATACATATAATCAGATAAGAAATGTTGGCAAATGGGGCCAAAACTGTCTTAATGTGTCTCATATCGACACAAAATTTAAAATACCATTATTATTTGTCGTTTGCTACCAAAAATTAGTTTCATTTATCCTATTCGATAAAATTTATTCACATACTAGTTAAATGTCATAATATGGTAAAAACATCTATTTTTTAATTTACTTATAGAAAGTATCCAACACTAGTATGAGTGTCTTTTATGTACTATGGCTTTTATGTACTATGCTGGTAGAAATATATTCAAACCAACATCTTATTACAGTTGAAACTCATAAATTACTTCCAATGAGATAGTCTGTCCTAATACTTTTGAATAAAGATATTTTACGACTCCATTTTGTATCCAAATATAAGCACGTTCTTTAATCAAACTTTTATTTAACTTTTCATGTCTTAAATGGATTAGAAGTGCATATAGTAATTTGTTTACAATATATTTCACCATCTGTGTAATTTTTAATCCCATATACAGGGTGTAGTCATAAAATAATAACATACTTGTATAATTAAACTTTCTATTACTTAATATTGTGTACTCTTGATTGCAAATATAAAAAATCTACTATCAACAACTACTTTTAAGATAATTCTCACCTCAGAATCCAATTTCCGAAGCCGTAATCGACATACGGCATTCTGTCAAGTTTAAATAGTAGCGGCGAACTTCCAAAATCTACTAATCTTCTCTCTAGAAGACTTACTAAACCATCAAACCTGCCATTAGCTTGGATGTAGCCCCAAGAGTCAGTCCTTTGAATTTTCAAACTAAAAAATATTAAGGAACACTTTAAATCATAGTATGTTGGATTGTCAAAAGTACATTGAAGACTGTTGTTTTATTACCTGAAATTGTACATATCTTTGCAATGGTTTACTGTATTAGCTTGAAATCTATGCATTGAATCTATTTGTCTATTTTCATCACTGGCTAAATACTTGTTTAAAGGTACGTATAAAAAAGGAACCTAAAAATCATACCTTCATGCATCGAGCTACATATATTTCAATAAGAAATAAAGTCTAAATAATTTCTTACCACCACTGCTGATTTAAAAGTAACTCCCGTCATATTTTTTCTTCGCCAGTATTTATTTTCGAGATTATTTATAATATAACCCTGTTTTTGATTATAATATCCAAAAATATCAACTTTTAGTTCACCACCATGTTCAAAAGCAGGATTATAAACATCATATATTGAAACGTTTGCGTTATTTATGGAATCAGATTGCTTTAAAATGACTAAATTCATGTCAGAATTAATATTTAGCCTTAAAATCTTCAATTTTTCTGTTATATTCATCGTGGAACTAGTTATAAGCCAATGATATGTTTCGTAAAAATATTTTTTATCTGTTTCCTGAAATAAAGTTTTATATATTTTCATGTAAAAAGATTATTTTTCTCTACCCACATGGATATTAGCTAATCTACGCGCAGACTACAAAATGAAAAAGTATGCTATTGCGTTCAGCTTAACGAATATACACAAATCTCCAAAAGTCTTGGCTCCCCTTGGTAACTTTTATCGCTATCAATGTAAGGCACATACTTTGATTACTATACGAGGCAAGAGAGAGATCCGGCACGCCCAACATAGGGCGCGGCCATTTTGAACCCTGTGACACAGTTTACAGCTAAAGAATGAGATCGCTCACTCTGCGTCGGCACTTTGGATCTCAATGTTTCAGTTTATACACTGTGCAACTCAGATAATACAATATATGACAACCGACTATAATAAAACAGCAGCCTTCTGCGTATCCGGAATTTGTATCCCTGGAGTGGATGTTATTTTGGAACTTTCAACTGGTCCGAGTGAGCTAACTGATTCTTTAGCAATAAACTGCGACTTCAAAAATAATATTCACTGACACTGACAGCAGTAAGCAAAATATCAGGTGCGTTTTAATCATCCGCTTCTGCTTCCGGAATTGTCGGTTTAGTCGTTTTAACCTGTCAGATTAAAACAAGAAAACCGACAATTCCGAAGCAGAAGCGGATGATTAAAACGCACCTATTAAAAATAGTGCGCCTAGATGTAGGCAACACGTAATAAGGTTCAAAATGGCGGAGTTTTCTATCTCCTTTTAAAAGGCACTCAGAAAGCTGCGCAGTGCGACCATTCTTCGTATAGTAAAAGAAAATCAAAGTGTGTGATGTAAGGTGACTATTTTTTTTGTATTCGCAAGGTGCAAAGTACATGGTGGGGACAGTCGAATCGACAGCAGCGTTCGCAGTGGACAAAGTACGCATTAAATCTGGATTTTGTTGTGAATAAATTAATAAAATAATTTAAATATCTCGTGAATGGTTGTATTTACGAAAATTTTTCATTCTTGCTAATTTGTAGAGAACGGTGAATAATTAATATTCCTAAGGTTATTAGTTTTTAAGTTTTAACAAAAATTTAAATTGAATTATATTTAATTTTTAATTATTACGCCATTATATCAAAAACTATTGAGTTTTGGAAAATTTTGAACGACTACAAATTTGTTAATCATAGTTTTTTCTTGCCAACAAAGCAACTCCTATACTTATCTTTAACCATTCAGAAGTAATAGGGATACATCTTCACGGCATACGATAGCCTGAATATGACAAAATCGCTAAGCAAAATACGGTTTGTTTTTCTCGGTCTTTTGACGTTTTGACAGTTAACCGTACTTATTCTATACGAAAAATGGGGCATTCTACTTGTTGCGTTGTGAATTGCAAAAATACAGGCAAAAATAGTAGTTGCAAATTTTCTACATTTCCAACTGCCAGTTGGAAATTAGAAAAAAAGAGCGAAATGGATAGAATCAGTTAAAACAAAAAAGTAAGTAATGTACAACCTAACTTTACCTTTTCTTATAATTAAAATAATATTTTTATAGTCTTGATGGATCACCGTGGATTCCAAAACCAAATGATTGCATTTGTAGCGATCATTTTATTTGAGGTAAAAAATCAGAGGAGGCAAGTCCGCGCATTTTCTAAATTCTTTCACTTCTCTTACATGATTTGCCCTTACCAGTTGTTTTCCTTTGTACAAAGTTTTAGGTTGAAATAATATCTCATGAGATATTGCCTCAAATCCTGTTTGAATAATGATGTTCATTGGCAGAGAATTTATTAAAACATATTAATAGTTTAAATTTTTAAACTAACCTTTTTTTGACAGTTAACCTAATACTATTCTTATGTTCTTCTTTATTTTTGGCCTTTATCTATTCAGCATTATTTTATTTAAAATAAAATGCATTTTATACTCATTAAAATTACTTATACTTACTTTTTTTAATCGCGATATGTAATATTTACTATTTATTTAATATTTATCACGTAATACACTTATATTTCACAGCGATTTTCTTTTTATTTTGTATTTATAAAAATTTTACATGTAATTCATCATTGATAGGGCCAGATTTAATGCGGTCACAAGATGCCGCTTCCTTCGCGCACCCGGCGAATACATTCTTTATTATCTTATCATACATAAACACAACAGGTTGTAAAAAAAAATTGTTTTCGTCTGAAAATGTGCACGATTTGAAAAGAAATCAGTTCTAAGCTGACATCGAGTATTAAAGTATCAAGTGAATTTGTCATAAAATGCCCATGACATCCGATTTCTCAGTCCGGGCAAAAATAATGGCCTTACATTAAGAGGATTTGTCAAATCACCAGATTGCGTGTCATCTAAATATTTCACGGACTTCGGTAAGGCGCATAGTGGCGAAAGACGGTGACTGGTCGACCCAGAGTGACTTCAGAGAGGGAAGACCAGTATATGGCAAATTTTACCCTAAGGAACCGAAGTATAACGGTAAAAGCCCTTCGAAGTCATTTTTTGTGAAAGTACCGGAGGGTAGTTTCGAGAAGTACCATAAGAAAAATATTGCATTTCTCAACTCTAAGGACAAGATAATCTTTAAGAGTGTGTAGGCCAAAGAGTATAGTTAACACAAGAGATCGCACTTAAATGTCAATCGATGTGAAAGTCTGTGACATTGAAAATTCAAAATATTTTACGCGGGTAAAATGTATCTAATCTAATATAACCTAGCTTTCTAATAATTTCCCTTTTTGGTTGGAAGATTTATTTGTAATCGAATTTTGTTATAGATCTGTATTTTTTATTACAAAATTACATCGTAAAGGTCTGTGCAGTGAAAAACTGCAAAAATACTAATCAATTTTCTAGATGTCATTTTTCTCATGTGACAGCAATCAAGGTTCTGATTGGTGACACCAGACATGTCAAAAATACTTCAGACCAATAGGGAGGAGGCATCGAGGTCAACATTATTTTAAAAACCAAAAAAACATAAATTTTGTAAAAACCACACTAATTTTGTCTTCAAGTGGCTTAAAAGCTGAATCTTTTTTTACTTTTAGATGTAATTTTTCTCATGTGTCAGTAACTAACGTGCTCATTGGTGACCCCAGACTTGACAAAAATACCCCAGACCAATAGGGAAGAAGTACCGAGGTCATTGAGATTTGAGCCAGAATTTAACATGGGAAGTATAGGGAGTGACAGGCCTGTGGTCTAGGCTTTTACCCTACACAGAGCAGCACGCGTCGCCAATGGGCTCAAGCGCACAGGAACTGCCATTTTACCTTTTTTCGGACGATTCAGGAGTTGACCTACAGAGTGATAGCCTGCGGGAAATATTTTGGAGGAGTTCATGCAGACAGAGACGACTTACTTTGGCAAGAGGTGTTATTTCCTATGAAGGCGGATCAGTGTTGTTTTGGGAGGTATAATGTTTGGTCACCGCATCCCACTTGTGTTGATTGAGAGAACTATGACAGGTATCATATACACTAAAAACATTATTCAACAAATCAATCAGCCTTTGCGCAACAAATTTGGAAACAATTTTATTTTCCAAGACGAAAATGCCTGACCGCATCGCACGCAAAGGGTATAGAACATGCTGTAGGAAGGAAATATTCAAATAATGTATGGAATTATCTTGGCAGAACAATGTTCAATCGAAAAAACCCCTCGACGCGTTGGCCAATTGATTGAAAGGAGGGGCGATAATGCAGACTATTAAGTTATGTTTTTGTTACCATACAACAGTTTTTCATAAAAAATAAGATTTTCTTACTTACAATTTTTGGATTTTTTTTATAATTTTCTTTATTCTACATTATTCGGAAAACAAATTACAAAGGTTGTGTATCACATAGTTTGGTATTGAAACAAAGAGTAAGATTCGATATATGTTTAAAATTCAATTTGATTATTTTTAAAAATACCTTGGGGGCCAAGACTTTTGGAGATGTGTGTATTTCATATCCATTCTAGTTAGTGAGAACACTGCAAAACAATTAAATTCACCAATCAAAGTTCATATTTTGGACACCCAACTACTATTATTTTTAAAATTTTAAATAATTGACAATTCTGTCAAACTAATTGTCAGTATATTTTTTAGTTATTGAGATTGAATATACATTAGAATAAGTTATTTTTATGTGGAATCGATAAATAATAGCATTTTTATTTGTATTTGGTCCACATTTCGCAATTGGTTTCACAAATAGCTATTAAAATTAGTTATTTTGTCTTAATTAACCTAAAATAATTTTTTAAATTTTTAGATTTTCGTTGGTGGGTCGTAGAAACAATATATACTGTTTTTACAACTCGAGTGGATCATCTTCGTGCTTAAACTTCGTCTTCGTACGATATGGCCATCATATACGCTCTTGTTGCACAAACTACTATTTTAGTTTTCGATATCTCAGTGCCGCCTTGTGGCCTACTCTACGGGGATGCGGGGCCTTTGAAAGGAAAATTAAATATATACAATTAATCAAAATTTATACCAAAGCATTTTAGGATATCCAATCCTAACTTGGTACTTCGTTCCTGGCGTTCAATATATTTTATATTTTGATAGTATTCAGCTTTTAGTACACTTTATTTATCCCAACCTAAGTATTTGTGTTCTACTACTTTTTTGTCAAAATTGTCGATGAAGTAATAGTTTTGTTACATTTATAAAAATAGTTGTTTAATTCGTTGAAACATATTTCCACTTTTTACTTTCCTATCTGTATACAGATATAAGGAAAGTATAGGAATCATGATTTTTTTCGACCTCGAGTTTTCGACGGATTTTTACGTTTTGAGGTCCCCTGAATCCGTTTTGACTATTTTCGCGATGATGTCTGTGTGTGTGTGTGTGTCTGTGTGTGTGTGTGTCTGTGTGTGTGTGTGTGTGTGTGTGTGTCTGTATAACGCATAACTCATGAACCGATACACGGAAAAACACCAAATTTCAAACTTACGCTTTATTCCAGCGTCTAATGAGCTGATTAGATTTTGGGCAGAGTCGGAACATCTGGGGG